ATGGTACAATCATAAACAGGATATTTTGCAATGATTAAAAATGAGATTATCAAAGGATGCTGATGTTGGGAAATGCTCTAGATATAACAGTAAGTAGAAAAAAGCAATATATACATTTTATGATCCCAAGATTTAAAAATATATTTTAGAAAAAACACCAGAAGGAAGCCCACCAAAGTATTAACTGAGGGTCTCTAGCAAGTGGAATCATGATGCTATTTTTTTGTTTTCTTGCACTTTTCAAAATGTCTCTAGTGAAGCTATTTGTATGATTAGGAGAAAAATAATGGTATTATATAACTGAGTTGCAAAGGTCATCAAGTGACAGCCTGTTGTCTTCCTTACTATGAAAACGAAACTGAGAAACCAGATATTTGATGAAATGAAGCCACAGACTCTCAATCTAGCCTTTCTCATTCTCTAGAAATTCTTGACTAAAGTAAACCTCTCAGAATAAATACTAAATAGATCCTCTGGAGACCTGGCCCCAATCCTATGACAGTCTCGCTATCCATTTGGCTTTTGAAGTGGCTCATACTGAAGGTGGGGCAACTCCCCAGTCCAGAGCTGATCTGAATCAAATCAACTTTGCTTCCAGTCTCATGCTGGGTAAAGCAAATGAGACATACAGTACCTTAGTTGTTGCCACATACACTACTCAGGGATGGCAGGGGGAAAAAAAAAATTTACATTCTTGCATGTTGCCAAATGTTTAGATGGCCCACAGGTTGTTTATCTAACAGCTTGACATCTGGCCAGACTGACTGAAGATAATGAGTTTTAGTGAGGTTGCTTCTAGACCTGGCAACTGCTCTACAAATCAAGACATAGAAGCTTGTGAAAAACTCAGTGCTTCCTAAGCAGCATCCCCTCCCAACTCAGAATGACTTTCTTTAAATATTCACCATCTGGATAATCAAACAACTCACATTTGATCTTTCTTACTTCCCTTACGTGTTATTTTCCATCACATCGCAGAGGAATTTTGCTCGGGGTTTATAAGGTCATATGAACTGTGGCCTACCTAAGAGCCGCCCTAAAAATTGATTGTAGCCTAGAAATCGACTGCTTGTGGAGCCTTCCATTAATCCTGTTCTATTTATGTAGTGTCCACATTTGTCTTGGGTTTTCTTACGATTTTGCTCCAACTCAAAATTTCTCTGAAGATGTCGAGAATTCTAGTCTCTGCTGTGTTTGTAATCCATATGAAGAAAAGCCAAGAACGAAGGAAGTGAAACATCTGGGACACTGGAGATACTCAACTGCAGCCCAAGAGTAATTCCACAGCACTTGCATTCTGTTCAAATAGAGCCAGTTAATAAATTATGCCAGTACATGAGGCATTCAGAGTGGCACAACTGCTCAGAGTGACGGTCAACCTTTGGTGGAGTATGTTTTAATATAAAAACTTAATAGATGTAATTTAGTAGCAATTTTCTTTGGGAGTAAATTGGTCTCTTAATCATACTGAGAACATAGAAGAAAAATGACTAACAATTCAGCACAAAATGAAAACCTGTGGTTACCTAAGAGGTACGAATGTGCATTTAGCAGTTTCTTCTTTTTCTAGCTGAATACACAAGATGAATGGTGGCTGTGGTGAGGCTTTCTCCCTGCTGCTACTTAAGATTTGCTGCTCAGAAAAAGAAATGAGTGGCACTTCACCAATATGGAAATGTTTCTAATAGAATATAAAAATCTGTTAAGCAATTTTCCAGTACATTAGACTGAAATTGCTTAAGATGGGTATACATTTCTGTGGCCATCGAACATTACATAAATTGCAGTCTTATAATGCCCCTATGTGGAAAGTGCTAGTACAATTTGGCCTCATATTTTAGTCAGTACTTTTGTACTCACTTCCACTTGTGACCCTGTACAAAGCCACTTCTCAATTACCTGGGAGAGGACTTCCTGATTTGAGGGTCACCCACGCTTTCATTAGAAGAGTCATTCTTTCTGGCAACTTGCACAGAGCTCAAAATGAAAAAGCCAACCAGCTAGTTTTTGTTAGTCAGCTTTAACAGAGCATGAGAGGTCTGAGAATCTTGGCTCTGAGTAAAAATAACAAGTCATTGTGTACAGATAAGTATCCCTAACTTCTTGCCTGCTTCTCTATTCCAACTTTTTATTGGTTTACAAAGATCACTGGTTTACAAAGAAGACCATGACATCTACTGAGCACAAAAAAAAAAAAAAAAAAAAGGAAATGCTCATATTGAGAAGCTACTTTAAGTTACAGAGTATTAATCAGCTATCCGCCAGATCTGACATACATCCCTCCCCACCATACTTGACTTGCACATGATGTTTCAGTTTTAGAATAACTCTTTCAGTAATTCTGCTCTGAAGACAAATAATCACTGAATGTCAGCTTAGAAAAAGTGTAGGCAATAGGTATGGGTAGAAGCCATCAAGTAACAGCAAAGGGGAAAACACTACAACTGTAGCAAGGGAATAAGATCTAGAACATTCTGAATATAAACAGAATTATATAGAATAGTGGTTCCAAATACTTTACTGCCACATAACAAGATATTATAGAAACTGAAAGTGTTCCAGTATGGGAACATTTTAAGACCCACAGGGTGATGGAAAAAAATGCCCTGGAGCCAGGCAGGGCTGTTTGAATCCCAGCTCTACGGCATATTACCTGTACAACCTTGGGCAAGTCACACCACATCAGTCTGTTTCCTTGCCTATAAAATGGAACATTAACTTCATAAAACTGCTTAAAGGATTAGAATTAATGTAGAAAATTGGCTTATCATTGAAAGAATGGTAGCTTATAGTATTAATGATTACATCACACTCTACTTATGAACTCATGCTTCAGGACTGCTGCTAAGTCCCAGAGAATGAGTTCTGCAGGAGTATACAGTCTTAGCTTCAAGTCTCTATTTTGTGGCTTAAGTTTCCCATTTTGTTTTTCAATGTCATATCAAATTTTAGGCATGTATAGTATTTCACCTATAAATACACCTTCTTCAGGTGGATCTAAATCTACACATGCTGCCCATTTTGAAACTCATGATAATGGCATCCTTGCTTCTCACTCTGATTTTGGTATTTTCATCTCACCAACAAACTAGAGTATGGTACAGTATTAAAGTTTAAAATACTCACTTTATTTATACACATCACTGCCCTCTAGTGACTAGAATAATTCCTTCTAGTAGTCTAACTGACCCCCTTGATGTAAAAAAAAAAATAATCTAGTTACTCATCCACCAGCAGGAAAAAAAATCTTTTTCCAGGAAATGTTGGTTGATGCAACCAATTAAACCTGATCTTACCTTCCTGATCAAACCATCTAGCTGTGGTCTGAGCCACCATCTAAAGCTACAGAGCACAGGTGAACCACCTGTATGTTCTACTATAGATTCTTGTCTTAATAGTGTTGGCTATGTTGGGCATGACCAGTTAGTAATAACACATTAGGCACATTTCCTCTCTAATACCCCTCAACTCTTAAGAACGTGGCCTCCACAGTGTTCCTTAAATTTTTTACCTTATAATTTTTTAAATAAAAGCATATATTATTTATATAAGGGGGGACCCCACAGTATTTTCAAGGGAGAGATAAAAAAATCTGGATTACTAAAATAGGAGCTTTGCATTCAAGATCTATTCCAAGTTTAGAATACCAACAGAGATTGGCTGACATCTTGAAAGACTGGTCTGTTCTCTAACTTTTGGCCAGTTAGCACCAAACTCAGGAAAACCTCTAACCTTATTCACAGAAGAGAATGGGCAATAGTAGTAGCTACTGTTTATAAGCTAGACCTTGTGCTTAACTATTTGTATCTGTCACCTCCAAGAATCCTGTGTGGCAGGTGTTTTTATCCCTGTTTTATACATGAGACCAAGAGAACTTACATAGCTGAGTCCAAATCTGCACATAAGCCCTCCTCCGATAACAGGAAAACCATCTGAAGGGCAAGTGACACTGAACATTGAACAAATTACCATCTTGGTGTAAACAGTAACAAATTACAATAAACTCTGACCCAGAAACTGCTGAAGAACAGAATCTAAGAATATTTACTAGTAAAAGATAGGTGTTCAAAGATGACCTATCTTCTTCAATAATTAAATGCTAGCTAGTTATAAATTCAGTGAGAAACTTCTACACAGATATAGGTAGGTTTCTCTTATCCAAATGCAAATCTAATCAGGTTTGAAATCCTAAAAGTAGAACATTAAGCTAAATGATAACTCTCCCAATATTTTTTCAGTTTTTGGTTTTTTTTTAAATGGCACCTCATGGGAGCCTGGACACAATGTCCAACCTTAGAATCACCTATGATTTTCTTTTTTTTTAATTAATTAATTTATTTAGTTATGGCTGCGTTGGGTCTTCGTTGCTGCGCGCGGGCTTTCTCTAGTTGCAGAGAGCAGGGGCTACTCTTCGTTGTGGTGCTCGGGCTTCTCACTGCGGTGGCATCCCTTGCTGCGGAGCACGGGCTCTAGGTGTGGGCTTCAGTAGTTGTGGCACACGGGCTCAGTAGTTGTGGCTCACAGGCTCTACGGCGCAGGCTCAGTTGTGGTGCACAGACTTACTTGCTCCATGGCATGTGGGATCTTCCTGAGCCAGGGCTCGAACCCATGAACCCTGCACTGGCAGGCGGATTCTTAACCACTGTGCCACCAAGGAAGCCCACCTCTGATTTCGTCTAGTCACTTTTTCTTTGGTTTTTTTTTGGCTGTGTCACACAGCTTGCGGGATCTTAGTTCCCCAACCAGGGACTGAACTCGCACCCGTGGCAGTGAAATCCCAGAGTCCTAACCACTGGACCATCAGGGAATTCCCTATAGACAGATGATAAATATACTTAAGCCTGTGTGATGCATAAGGCCAAAGCATAAGTGGACAATGGAACACCCCTCTATCAGCTCCCCTCCACCAATGTAGGTTTATGGGTCCATCAGCCCCTCCTTGGTGAAGAACAGCAATCCCTGCTCTCCTCAGAGGCTGTTCAATAATAGTAACACTGATGTCTGAACTTGCATCTTTAAAGACATATTTCAGGATGTGGGAGCTTCTGGGACCATAACTTTAACCCAGCCTTCCATAACAGTCTTCTTACTTTCTAGTACAAAACATGACACTGCAATAATAGCAAGGAACCGCTTCAGCTTTTTCACTTCTGCAGAAGCTAAAACAACTTCCCCAACATATAAAGGCGCTGGAAAGTTAATTTCCTGGGAAAGAAATACACAGCCTGGCCCTGGCATTTTAGTACCTAGGAGAGCTGAAATAAGTCCATTGATCAAAACTCCATGTACAATCGTCTTTGCAAATCTGGTGTGTTTTGCAAAATCTTCATCCAAATGCAAAGGATTGACATCCCCTGTTAATTCTGAGAAGACAGCCACATCCCTCTGTGTGAAGGCCCTACTGAGTTCAGCCCGGTCTCCAACTCTGATGTGCACATGCTGTAAGTGCTGCCTGTTTAGCACTGCTTGGTTCAGGCAGATACTCCTCTGAAGCCTACCCCACCAAAGGCAATGGCTAGAAATTACTGGGAGCATCTTCAGAGGTCTCAAATTCCATCAACAGGAGCTTTTAGGCTGTTTCAGTCTTCATACATTATGCTGGCACCAAAATGTACTTTTGAGAGTGAGGAATACTTCTGAAATTGAAGACTATTCAATTCAATACTAGTTCTCTACTGTTACCAGATAATGCAAGGAGAAATGGAGAAACCTATAAGAGAAAGAAAAAGTTTAAGGCAGTATCAGGAGAAAACTGCACTGCAACACAGTACAATGTAGAAACATGCCCTATTCTATAGGATAAGCCAAACTGAGGTAGTAGCATTTTAAAGAGCATCCTGACAGCTAGCCTTAGATAAATAAGTGGCCATGATAAACTCAGAAAGAGCATTCCAATACATTAGGCGCTAGGCATTAAGCAACAAAAGACTTTTCCACAGGTGTTCCAAGTTTTATCCCCAAACCTCCCCCATAAAATTTAAAACCTAAGTGCTTTGTCTCACATCTTTGTAATTAATGAAGCCCTGAATTTTCCCCTCCCAGCTGGATGATGTTAACAACACTAGATTTATGCAAGCGCAAAAATGAGACACATATTAATAAGTAGTCTGGTCTACTACTCAGCTCATTTGGAATATGTGAAGGAATGGTCTTTACCTGAATCACTCTGAAAGCACATTTCTTGCCTTTATAGGATCCTAACAGGGTCAAAGAGCTCCACAATTTGACAAGACCACTACAGAAAGATTGAGAAAGCGTAAGTAAAGATTTGTCCCTGCAACATCTCCCTAGTACTTTTGTTTGTGATGGTCCAGAAAGTAGTTTCTACCAGAAAACCTATTTAAAATAAGAAAACTTTAAAAATAAAAGCACAGGGCTTCCCTGGTGGCGCAGTGGTTGAGAGTCCACCTGCCGATGCAGGGGACACGGGTTCGTGCCCCGGTCCAGGAAGATCCCACATGCTGCGGAGCGGCTGGGCCCGTGAGCTATGGCCGCTGAGCCTGCACGTCCTGAGCCTGTGCTCCGCAACGGGAGAGGCCACAACAGTGAGAGGCCCGCGTACCGCAAAAATAAATAAATAAATAAATAAAAATAAATAAATAAAATAAAAAATAAAAGCACAGTATGTCAAAGGCAAAGAAAAAAACGAACCTCAATCAGGAATGTTTCTAAAATATACACTTCTGAGTTTGCAACCCTGACTATCAATTGGGAAATATTATAGTTGTAAGCAAATCACAAGTTTGGCTCTCTAGGGTGTAAGTTCCTGGTGGATGAATGTTCATATTCTCCCCAATTTAAACTTCCAAAAGCTGGTTGGAGTTCACAATGACAAAATTCTTCTCATTCTCAGAAGAGAGCACCTTTGCTCTTTTTTTGCCATCCGTCTCTGCTCTGTTAAACTAGAAGTGTTCCACTGTCTGTCGTACCTGCTGCATATTCTCAAGATGGCTGACAAGGTCTTCTCTTCGTAGGTTAGAATGTCCAAGGGTAAAGCAGCATCAACCTAAGTATGGAATAATGCTGTCAGCAGACTATTATCATCATTACTCTTGAACTCTAATAACTAATTCTGTCAACTGCTTTTCTTCTCCAAAAAATCAGTATTTTATTTAATGGACTGGAGTACTGGGCCTGCTTTTTTATAACTTCCCCCTGCCTGGAACATTCTTCCTGTACCTCTTCATATTGCTAAGGCCTCTTTACCTTTCGCAAGTCTTCGTTTAAATTGCTCCTTCCTTGATTCCCAAAATTAAGCTCAACTGCTTGCTATGCTCTTTCACATACAGGACCCACATACTTCCTATTTCAAGATACTCATCATTCTTGCCATTAATTGTTCAAGATGGTTTCCTATTAAAATAACCAAGACCATGAGGCAGAAGCCATGTCTGTTTGTTTACAACTACATCGCCAGGAACCAGGTTTTATACTTGACATATAGAGGGTGCATGGATTTTTTTTTCTCATACTTTTTATTTTGAAAAATTAGAGTCACATGAGATTGCAAAAACAATGTGCAGGAAGATTCCATGCACCCTTCACTCAGCCTCCCCCAGTGTCAACATCTTGCATAACTACAGTACAATATCAAAACCAGAAAACAGAAATTAATAAATCAGAGCTTATCCCAATTTTGCCAATTATACATGCACTCATATTTGTTTACACGTATATATGTGTAGTTCTATGCAATATTACCATACAGGTAATTTAAGTATTACCATTATCAAGATAAAGAGCTATAGCATCACAAGGCTCTCTCCTTCGACCCCCTTTACAGCCATACCCACCACTCCTCCTCATCCCTAAACCCAGGCAAACACTTATCTTTCTCTAGATTATATAATTATGATAATTATGTTATTTCAAGAGCATTATATACATGGAATCACCCAGTATATTACTTTTTGGGATTGGCTTTTTCACTCAGCGTAATTCTCTAGAGATTCCGTCAATTTGTCAGGTGTATCTATGGTTTATTCCTTTTCATTACTGAGTATATTCCACGGTATGAATGTACCATAGTTTGTTTAACTATTCACCCACTGAAGGGCACGTGGCTTATTTCTATTTTGGGGCTCTTACTAATAAAGCTGCTATGAACATTTGTGTACACGTTTTTGTGTGGACATAAGTTTTCATTTCTCTGGGATACACAGCCAGGTATGCAATTGCTGGGTTGTAGGGTAGTTTAAAAACAACTACCATAGTTTTTTAAAGGAAACTGCCAAACTGTCCCAAAGTGGCTGCACCATTTTACATGCCCACCAGCAGTGTATGAGTGGTTTAGTTTCTCTGCATCCTCACCAGCATTTAGTGTTATCACTATTTTTCATTTCAGTCATTCTGCCAAGTGTGTAGTAATGTGTCATTGTGGTTTTAATGTGCATTTCCCTAATGGCTAATGATGCTGAACATCTTTCCATACATGTGCTTCTTTGCCAACTGTACACCCTTTTTAGTGAAATGTCTGTTCATGTCTTTTGCCCATTTTTAAGAATTTTTTTTGTATTTTGGCTGCGCCGCGCCATGCCATGCGGCACGCGGGATGGTTCCCCAACCAGGGATAGGACCCGAGCCTCCGCGGTGAAAGCACCGAATCCTAACCACGAGACCACCAAGGTACTCCCACTTTTGCCCATTTCCTAATTGGAGTGTTTGGGTATTTTTCTTTACTACTGAGTTTTAAGAGATCTTTATATATTCTAGATATTAGTCCTTTGTCAGATATGTGGTTTACAAATATCTTCCCCCCAGTCTGTAGTCTGTTTTTTAGCCTCTGAACCAAATCTTCTGCAGAGTAAAAGTTTTTATTTTGATGAGTGCTTGACAGATTTTAATTTGATAGAATATGTATCAGGAAATAATTTCCTGAGAATCATCTGTCTTTGTTCTCTCTTCAAAACTCTACTTGTTTTCAATTGAATGCGAAAACAGACTACTCAAAGTGCTGGTCTTGATAAGGAGCTGCACCAGAGTGGAAATCAACAATATCAGTGAGCACACTGTTTAGTTCAGCTCAGTTTTTTTTCATTGGAGACTGTCTCAGTAAAGGAAACGGTGTGCTCATTTACATTCTGGTACAAGCCACAACAGGCAAAAAACCCCCCAAAAACCCCAGCAGTTTGCAGGTTGCCAGTCTACACCATACTCTGAGTTGCACTACACTAAACATTTGTCTAACAAGTTCCTGTCAACTAGAAGGCATATGAGAACAAACCTACACAAAACTCATCACTTCTGGAAGTCTGCTTCTGCAATTTCAAATGTGGTTTTAAAGTTTTAAAATAATGTTGGGAAAAGTGTCCTTTCACTATGTCTTACAAAGACCTTAGGAGTGTTCAAACTACCAAGTGATTCCATACCTCTCCAAACAGGTCCTTCAGGGCTGAAATAAGCAGCTGTTTGAACTGTGCAGCATTCAGTCCAATGCCATGATCTTGAAATTCTCTGTAAAAAATATTTTTTAAAAAATGCATTGCATTAAATTTCATGCCATTCACATTCATAAAACAGTAGTCGAAAATAAAACTCAGGAGACTGAACTTACAGGTGGACTTTCATGTAGTGGTGCTCAGAGGGATTTCTGTAAACTATTCTTTCATATGTGGCAGCTGGGGCTGGCATCTTTTCCAGTGCTGATCACACCTACATGAAGGGTCAAGGGGGCTAGAAATTACCAAGATACAAGCTATTTTTCACTTTTTTAATGAGAATTTGACCTATATGATTTTTTAAAGAACTCTTAGTACAATAACTTACCTAATTCTGGTCAAACTGATGTTACCCATACAGACACAATGGAAGTTTCTATATTTTATGTATGCCAGACCACCATACTCTTATTTAATCCCAGCAAACATTTTCCCTTACTGAGTACCCAGCTCTGTGCTAAACACTTTACATAACTTAGGTCATGTCTTCAAAATGATCCCATGAGCTAAAAGCTATCAGTATTCCCATTTTTGAGAAGAGAACACTGAGGCTCAGCAAAGATAGCTAACACCTGCCCAGAGGCACGCAGAGATTCCAACCACTCCTGAGCTGCCTCAAGACCACTCTGGCATGATGCTTATTCATACAAAAAAAAAAAAGTAAAAAGCGTAAAGGGTAAAATCTGGGACCGAAGACCCTCTTCTTATTTACTCTGTCAACATAGAACATTAACAGAAGAATGAGAGGTGGTAGTTCTCCTGGCCTCCCCCCACGTTGGATCTGCCTGTTCTCTGTCTAGAAGCCAGGCCTGTACAGGGCTATTTGGCAGCCCTGCAAAAGACTGAGCTTAAACAGCAAAGGTCTTAAGAAGAATTCTGGAACGGACACTCAAGCCATTTCTAACAGATCTGGAACTTTCAAGAACTCAGAACATGCTAGTCCCCCCGGAGAGAATCCCTGTCCTTTGGCTCCACTCCTACCTCACTCTCACTCTGGACAGCTCCTACTCATCTTTCAAATTTTAGCTTAAAGTTCACCTGTTCCAGGAATACTGCCTCTTCAGGGAGGTCTTCTGTGACACCCTAAGTTAGGTTCTCTTGTTACACAATCTCTTAACATTGTCTATTTGTTTAATATCTGGTTCCCCCACTAAAGGGACCAGGAAACTGAGGCTGAACTAAGGAAAGGGACTTTTCCAAGGTCACATAGCTATAGACCAGCATTTACAAAAACCTCTCTGGGCCCACTTCCAACTACTCCCAAATGACGACCTTAAGAGAAAATGAGAAGTCAGGGTCAAGCAGGTACATCCAAACATCCATTCAACAAACACGAATATTTACTGAGTTTGGCACAGAGTATTCAACACTTTCTGAATACAGGATTGATCAAATGGTGGTAGTGTGAGGCCTGTATGTTCAAGAGTTATCTTTGGTTTCAGGACTGCAGCAATAGTTACCTGGTGCTTCTTTCCCCATCATCAGAGTCTCCCCGACTAAAGGGGCAAGGAGAACAGGACCCTCAGTCATTCCATTCATTATCCAGCACACGATAGGTGTTTTTTAAGTGTTACGGACTACCCTAGAGGAGTTGGCTGCTTGAGGTAGAGGAGTGAGGCTGGACTGGGGCTTAGGATGCCAATAACAACAAAGATTTCAGGACTACTCTGGAAATGGATGATGGTGATAGTTGTACAACAACGTGAATGTACTTAATGCCAATGAACTGTACAGTTAAAAATGGTAAATTTTAGGTTATGTTTATTTTACAAAAAAAAAAAGACTGAAGGAGCAAGTGTTTATTGAGCAGTCACCTCCGACAGGGCTGAGCCTCAGGGCTGAGTGATAGCTCTGCCCTCTTCAGGTTGTCCTGAGACTAAAGGAGATGATGCTTGTGAAACCCTCCCTACAGCCAGGCATATTCACCAGGCTCACCAGGAAAATGTGAGCACTTCCATGGTGGCTGTCATCATCATCTTTGAAGTCAGTCTTTTTGGTGGCTGTAGGAATGCTCATTACCTGATCTACTAGTAATAAGTGTCCCTGCTTCCCTCCCCAATCTAGTCTCTACAGCAGCCTGAGTGACCCTACTAAAAACCATCCAAGCCACATCATTCCTCTGCTCAAAACCTTGCAAAGATTCCCGTTTCAGAGTAAAGCCAAAGTGTTTACAGCCGTGATCTGGACCACTGGTTCCTCCCACCACCCTGACCCCACGTCCTACCGCTCTCCCCTGCTCAGTCCCACCACACAGGCCTCCTAGCTCTTCCCCTCCCGCCTCTGGGCCTCCCTCCTACTTTTCCACATGCTGTAAATACTCTTCCTCCAGATAGCCACACGGCTCATTCCCTTGCCTCCTTCATGGCTTTGCTTAATTTCATTCCTCCATTTATTCCAGTGGCATTTAGATCTAATGTCATCCCCCCATGCCACTGCTCTACTTTTTCCTCATAGCATTCACCACCCTCTAACATAACTGTGAAATTCATTTATTCTTTATTCGTACTTCCCTCCCCCGCCCTATTAGAATATACATTCCAAAAGAAACAGACATCTGTCTTGTTCTCTGATGTTACCCGAAAACCTAAAACAATACATCGCATACAGCAAGCATTCAATATATAACTTTGGGACGAAGTCAATGATTTACAAAAAAAACCCAGAATCCTCGATCCCGTACTGTTGGGCACTTAAGTCGTTTTCAACTTTCTTAGACTAACGTCCGCCACTGATTTAGCGCCCACCTGGGGGCCGGGCGCATGCGCTCTGCACACATGAGCCGTTCGGTCCTCTCAGCCGCCCTCCGCGACTGAGACCGCGTTGTAGAGAAGCCCGGGGAGGTTCGCGGCCCAGCCTCGCCTTCAGCCCTTGGCGTCCGCGGCCGGAGCGGTAGGTACGGCTAACCGCTCCTCGCTGCCCGCCGTCCCTCCGCCTTGCGCATGCGCCCCTGGCGCGCGCGTCCATACGTCACCAGTGCGGCCAACTGAGCCCACTCCCGGAAAACAGCCGCCCTGCTATCCGCCTACCCGCTCTCCGTCGGACTGGTCTGACGCCTCCCGGACTCCTTTTCCCTGCAAGAATCCACCAAGACTTGGAGCTCTCCCGAAGCCCACGGCCCGAACTCCGGGGTGTTTACGTTTGGCTCCTCTCTGTCCCGCCCCCGGATGCGTGACGTCTAGGGAGGATATGACGTCACCGCGCGAGGTTCTCCTAAGGACCCAGGCGTGACTCTGAATCTGAGACTCGCCATGCTTAGTGCCCTCTAGTGCCCACGCTGCAGAAAGCCGTGTGCGCAAATGTCTGCGTAGGGTAAGGGACTCAGGGCATGTTTATTGTGCCCGAGAGCGTGCTTCTTAATCATTTATCTATGCCTTCATTCGTTCAAAAAATTTATATCTAGCGTCTCTTCTGCTGAGCATCTCCTAAATAAAGCAATCCCCAAGGACAGAACCGGTTCTCAGTGTCTCTTGTGGCTCCCAGCACATAGTAGGTGTTCTGTCTGGGTTGACATAAAAAAACCCAGAGGGTCCTATTTCCGAATGTAAGCCAAGTTTCATCTATTCGTTTATTGAGTAAGTACTTGCTGAGCCCCTATTATGTGCTAGGCACTGGGAACAAGACGATATGGCCCCTGCACTCGTGAAACATATCGTGTGTATTCAACAATCAAGTGCTTACTTTGTGCCAGGTACTATGCAAAAACCTTTATATATGTTATCTCATGGAACTCTCACACAGTCGTAAAGTAACTATTATTACGATCATCCCCATTTTACAGAGGTGGAAACTGTACAGAGGTACAAGAGGCTAAGTTACTTGCCCAAGATCACAGTTATAAGTGGTGGATTGGGCCATCTGACTTCAGATGGTTTTCTCCACACTGCACGGTATTACCACCAATTGTGTGATATGAGTCAGGGGTATACATGGGAGAGGGCCTCGGGGCTGCCAAAACTTGAGTGTAAAGCCCATGAGGTTGGGGTCTTGTCTTTGTTGGCTCACCACTGCTATCCTGTGTCTGGCACTCAACTCCTACCGAGTTCTCCGAAAACTGAGTTCCCTCGACAAGTTTATGATTAATCTCCCTATCCAAAACTTTATTCCCTTTCTTGTCCCACCCCTGTTCCCCTCAGGATTGAAGGGTAGCAAAGAAAAGGGGGGATTGAAACCAAGCAGGACCCTGTGGAGCCTTCCCGGCTACAAAATTCCTTCCATGTCTAACTACGAGAGAATTAATCTTGCTTGTTTGAAAATTCCAGGGGCTGAACTTAAGGAGGTGGAAGCAGACCAACCTTGGAGTAAATTACTAATTGAGTACACATTAAAAACACCAAGATGACACTGACCAGACCACTGCACGACCCATCTCAAGATGATTATTGGAGCTGACCGTGCTGTTCTGCACGTAGCCCCCTGCTTGTGCACTCCTGAAACTCCCTTTTAAAACCTTTGTCCTCTAACCCACAACTAGGAGATGGTCTCAGACATTAGTCCACCATTTTCGCAGGTTGCTGGCCTCCTGAACAAAACAACTTTTTTCACCAACACTTGTCTCTCGAGTACTGACCTTTCGAGCGGCAAGCAGTCAAACTTGGGCTCAGCACCTGCCTCATCCAGTTACACATATGTCTGTGTCTGTGTGTGCACATACATATATACATAAGTATAATGTCTAGAAGGGTTCCAAGTGGACTGATGGAAGACAGGTGGGGCTGTGTGGAGGGTATAAGAGATGCTCACAATGTTTTAGCATTCATTTTGTGTGATTTATTTTAACGCGACAGGGCATCACTTTTATAATACTGATAATTGTTAAATAAAATTCAGGACTTGCCCCTAATGGTCACAAGGTGGAGCCGTGGACCACACCCATCTGGATGCCTCTCCTTCCACCTTGGAAGAACAGACTCTTCCTCAAGATGTCAGCTCCAACCCCCACCCACCAAGGTAAGAGAGAGGGGACAGGGAGTGCAGGTTCACTGTCCCTTATCTGCAATCCTGACATCCAAGAAAAATCCAGAAACCAAATCTTTCTTCATCTGGCATAATGCTTAATCCGAACTGAGGTGAAGCTCTTTATAGCTTTTGTCCCATTTGCTGTGGATACGCATAGAGCATACAGCAGAAATACGAATGCATTTGATCATGTAAAGCTGCCCCAGATCCCACTGGGGGTGTTGCACAACGTATGGTATACATAAAATACCACCTCTGTAAAGTCTGAAATTTCTGAATTCGGTATCACATCTGGCTCTGTGAGATGTGGTAAGGGACTGCAGACCTACACTCACACTAATAGTTGCCCTTCAGCAAGTTACCCAATCCCAGCCAGCTTTCACCTTGGGTCACTGGGATTGTCACCTTGCTGCCACTTCCTGCCCCTAAGAATCCCTTCTTCTCCTCTCATCCCCTGCTGGAGCTTGGCAGCCTTCTACATGTGCCCTGAGGTTCCTAGTCATTGTCCTGAGGGTTTAGAGACCAAAGATCCAGAAACCATGGAAAGAAAGTTTCCTCCAGGAGCCAAGAGAGAGGGGCTGTCCTGTTGCTCAGAGGACATCCTCTCCCTCACCCTGACTAGACTTATGGTCCCACAAGACCCTCATCCCATCACAGGCACTGGCAACCCCAGGCCCACATCCTGGTGATCTCCAGCCCAGAGAGCAACACTGGGCCCCAAGGGTAGCTGGAGATACCAGGACAGCAGCCCCAGCACCGCTGCCCTCTGGCCCTGACTGCGGCAGGTAACCTGAGGACATTTCCACTGCGCCATCTGTGACCACTCGCACTGCTTTTTTGCCTCCTTTCGAGGAATGGAAGGGTTGTATGAACGTCATCCAGTGTGGGAGGGATGAAAGGGGCAGGAGGAGCGGCTGATGGGAAAGCCCGTCTGTATGGTTAACGGAGTGACGCTGGAAGATTTGAAAGACTGAAGGATCAGAAGAATCAGGTTCCCAACTGTTAAGAGAGTCTGTGTGGGTGATGGAGACAGATGGGTATGAGACAAAGTGATGAAACACAGAGGGGGCAAGGGGTGGGGGAGGAGAGACAGAGACAGAAAGACTTGGAAAGAGACAGAGGGAGACTATGAGAGTTTTTTTAAAAAATGCTCTCGAACCCAGCCTAAGAGTATTTCAGCAAACATTTCTGAAATAGACCCAATATATTGCTACTTTTTGAAAATTAATTAATTAATTATTTATTTTGGCTGTGTTGGGTCTTCGTTGCTGCGCACAGGCTTTGTCTAGTTGTGGTGAGCAGGGGCTACTCTTCCTTGCGCTGCGCGGGCTTCTCATTGTGGTGGCTTCTCTTGTTGCGGAGCACAGGTTCTAGGCACACGGGCTTCAGTAGTTGTGGCACGTGGGCTCAGTAGTTGTGGCTCGTGGGCTCTAGAGCACAGGTTCAGTAGTTGTGGCGCAAAGGCTTAGCTGCTCCGCGGCTAGTGGGATCTTCCCGGACCAGAACTGGAACCCATGTCCCCTGCATTGGCAGGGGGATTCTGAACCACTGCGCCCCCAGGGAAGTCCTAAATTGCTACTTTCAATAAAAGACTTGGTCAACCCAAGTTCATGTGCCTGAGGCACAGTGAGGCCAAACAAACTGAAAGGTCGGAGTTTGGAGCAGAGAAAGGTTTATGGCAAGGCCAAGCAAGGAGCAGGGGCAGCTCATGCTCAAAAGACCCAAACTCTCCAATGGCTTTGAGGGAAGAGCTTTTAAAGGCAACGTTTGGGGTGAGGGCTGCAGGGTGGACGACTTTCTTCCAATTGTTTGGTGGTGAGGTAACAGGTGATGCTTCAGGAATCCTATTCATCAACCTTCTGGTTCCAACCTGTCTGGGGTCTAGTGCTTGTGCTCAGCATGTAGTCACCATCCTCCACCTGCAGGGGGTGTAGGGTGGGTCCATAGTTCCAGCCGAGCAACTCAAAGATATGTGTCGGATTGTTATGTATATCCCTCCAGGAGGAACTAGGACTGTGTTTTATTACTGAACTATTGTTTCTTAACTGCTTTTACTTTGTTTCTGCATTCCCTCACTTTCCTAATTAGTAACTTCTTGAATCTGCTCTTCAGGAACTCAGGGAAGGCCTCGAAAACTAAAGCCTTTTTCTACAAACAGGAAACAGGGAACACAGAAAGGCTTTTGTACCCCAAGGACTTCCATGGTGGTCCAGTGGTAAAGAATTCATCCTGCAATGCAGGGGGCCCGGGTTCGATCCCTGGTCAGGGAACTAGATCCCACATGCAGGGGCCCAAGGTGTGACCTCAGTGATCTGTGGTTGAAGCTGCCACACACTGGCCTGGTCTAGGCGAGCCAACAGGGCCCCAGGCTCTGCTAGAAATTGAGCAAGACAGCTCCTGCCTGAACCGGTGAAAGCACGGTTTTTGCAAGACACCTTCAATCATAAACCAAGAGGCTTCTCTCTATTTGTTATCTGTGTGAGCTTGGGCAAGACACTTAACCTCTCCATGCCTTGGTCTCCTTGGTTGTAAAATGGGCACAGTGTCCTATGTCCCTTTTAGGGCTGTGTGAGAGCTTGATAAGGTGATGCATGGAAAACACTTAGAATAGCGCCTGGCACATTTACATGATTCAGTCATGTAATTTACATGATTCAGCCTGGCCTGACATACATTACAATTTCCCAGTACTTTCTGGGGACCTCCTTTAGACAAAGCAACAACTAAGTTTCCCTGGGATGGCGAACTAGAAGATAGACTTACACACATGGGCAGCTCCATCCAATGTCTTGCATCAGTCACTCCTGGTGTCACTTCTGCCCAGAACAAGAAGCCCAGACTAACGGGCAGATTGAGTTCTAAACACTGCTGGTCCCTCAGCCTCTTCAACATCTGCCTGGAGGCTCCATCCCTAGCAGCCTCGACAACCCTGCTCCAGGCAGTGAGGGAAGAGCCCACTTGTGATTCCTGGGGCTTTCCACTCTTATTTCAGAAGCTTCGGGCAGTCTTTGAGGGAGGGCTGTGATGATTGACCCCCTTCTTCTTTCTAAGACCGTCATTAAAGACACTCCAAAGGGCCCAGTGGGGCAGTAACCAGCAGGCTCTTCATAATCACAAAGGCAGGAAGTGGGGCTCAAGAGGGAGATGTGCTTTTCTGCTTTCAAGTCTTCCTAGCACCATGGGACCAGAATTGCAGGGCCAAGAGAGAAACTTGAAAACTCACTTTGCAGGTTTGTCAAAAACAACTCTCGGGCTTCCCTGGTGGTGCAGTGGTTAAGAATCTGCCTGCCAATGCAGGGGACACAGGTTCAAGCCCTGGTCCGGGAAGATCCCGCATGCCGCGGAGCAACTAGGCCAGTGCGCCACAGCTACTGAGCCTGCACTCTAGAGCCCACAAGCCACAACTAGAGAAAACTCGCGCGCATCAACGAAGACCCAGTGCAGCCACAAATAAATAAATTTAAAAAACAAAACTCTCAAGGGACTTCCCTGGCTGTCCAGTGGTTAAGACCCTGCGCTTCCACTGCAGGCGGTGTGGGTTCCAGTGACGCTTTCCAGTGACAGTGGAGCGCTTTCCACTTCCAGGTGGGAGCCGTGTCCTGCACACCTTGCCCACTATCCTTCCAGGTGGGATGGCCAGCACATGCCCCTTTCTGGATGACCCCACTGAGGGTGCAGTGCACTGGCTCCTTTGGACCTGATTCTTAGTTCAACCCAGGACATAACAATTCCTGCATCTAACAGGCTTAATGATCTGGGGTAGTTATCCCAGGTCTGGGGCTTCTTCAGGCTTCTTCTTCCCCAAGGAAACCATCTCTCCCTACCCAAACCTATCAAGACTGACTCCTCCCAGAGCCTTACTAGGCTCAGAATTTTTGGTGAATATGGGAGACTGGAACAAGCAACATGTCCAGTATCTGCTTTCTTTTCTGCTTCATTGATTTTTGCTCTCATTTGTATTATTTCCTTCTATTTTTTTCTAGGTTTGATTTATTTACTTTTTTTTTCTAGCTTCTTAAAATAGAAGCTTAAATTATTTATTTTTTAGCCTTTCTTCTTTTCTAATATACATATTTCAGCCTATAAATTTCCCTCTGAGCACAGCTTTAGCTGCACCCCACAAGTTTGATGTCACATTTTCACATCTCTTGTTTTTAAGATCTATATTCTACTCTTCCTTGATAAACTAAAATATTCAGACCAAGTCCTGAATTCCAATTTAGACCACAATGTTCACCAAAGTTCTCACTTTATTTCCAGAACTATATGGCTGCAGACTCTGTAAGAAGATTTGAAAGAGTGAATCTCCTGGGGAGTTTAGGTTCCTAAATGCCACAGAAGAGAGTCAAAAGGAACAGTTTGATAACTCATGCCTTTTGTTTTTGATATATAATTTCAGGACTTCCCTAGTAGCGCAGTGGTTAAGAATCTGCCTTCCAGTGGTTAAGAACCTGCCGGACACTGGTTCAATCCCCGGTCCGGGAAGGTCCTACATGCAGCAGAGCAACTAAGCCCATGCACCACACTACTGAACCTGCACTCTAGAGCCCGTGAGCCACAACTACTGAGCCCATGCACCACAACTACTGAAGTCCTAATGCGCCCTAGAGCCCATGCTCCGCAACAAGAGAAGCCACCGTGATGAGAAGCCCACGCACCACAACGAAGAGTAGACCCCGCTCACCACAACTAGAGAAAGCCTGTGCGCAGCAACAGAGACCCAAACACAGCCAAAAATAAATAAATAAATTTTTAAAAATTGATATATAATTTCAATTGAATAAAAATTGCAAACATGATTTCTGGAAATGAAAGTAGCAACTCATATAAGCAAGGTCTTCCAATGCCTGTAGAACAAGCCTTACTTTAAAAAACACATTTTAAAGTTAACAGAACATCTGCCAACATTGCACTTCATTAAGAGCTTAAAAACAGAAACCAGTAGAGGGATGGGATAGGGAGGGTGGGAGGGAGACGCAAGAGGGAGGAGATATGGGGATGTATGTATATGTATAGCTGATTCACTTTGTTATACAGCAGAAACTAACACACCATTGTAAAGCAATTATACTCCAATAAAGATGTTAAAAAAACACCCAAAACCAGAAACCACTTGCATGTTGCTGATCTAGACTTATTAAATTTATTTTATGTCATTGTGGTCACTTTTACAGCGGTTTAGATTTATTTTCAATCACATTACTGTTCACAGAATTCACAGAATTCATTAACAATCTAGTATTTTACATCCAAGGGTTTTCAATAGCACAGCAAGATAGAAAAGAGGTGCTTGGGAGCGGAACCCGAGTCTGATTATTTAGATAGATGTCTAGAACATTATTGCTTTATTAGTTCCTTTTAAAAAATAATAAATTATCCCCAGGGAACCCACCCTGCCAGGTGTTCTTTGTACTGCAGCTGTCCCGGGTTCACTCAAGACATACCTGACACAGGGGTGCTGGTCAAATCACCCACCTGTGTCCTCTGCTGCTCTGAGAGCTGGCAAGGCCGAACACGCCCTTCTGCATGGGTAAATGTTTTCTACAGCCTGCCGTGCTCCTCCGTGGTCTTGCAGTTGACGGGCTGCATTCACATATGGGACTCTACGTAAACTTAAATTAGACATAAACAGGAGGGGCTTGGTGAATGGGGACTAACGCTCCTCAAACAGCCACTGAGCATGCACGGGAGAGTGTCAGAAGCAACAGAAATACCTCGAGCCTCAGTCTGTGAGGAACATCTTAAAGAAAATGTCCCCAGTGGTTATGGTCCAATATGGGCGCTTTGTGACATGAACTTGAAGACTTCTGGGTAGATTTCATGGATGGGTTTTCTTATTTCGTTCCATGTGAATGTGCATTTTGTGACAAACATCTTGGAGTTTTCCTCGTGGCCACCGAAGCTCTGTGGATCTGTAGAGACTGGGGCTGGAGGACTTGCCTTCCTCAGGGACGCTGGCGCTCCCACCGCATTTGGGGCAGGATCCCTGAGAAGTGGTGGCTGCATCAGATTCTGGAGATGGGAGTGGATGCTGGGTGCAGAGTGCAGGCTGCCACTGGGGCCTCAGTCCAGCTTCTTGTCGTTGTCTGTGCTGTGCACAGAAGCTAAGAAGTCGACAATGAGCTTGGCTGTCTTCCTGGGTCTCTCCATCACCACCGAGTGCCCACAGTTTTCCAGGAGCTCCACCTGGCAGTTGGCAATCGACTTGGCCAACATGTCCGCCCCAGACACGTCGAGCACCTGCAGGATGAGAGAGGAAACTAGACGGAAAAGGTTCAGACCCCTGTGCGCTCTGTGGACAGAACTCCCATCCAGGCCTGGCAGGGGTGACTTTTAGGATGAAGTCACTTCAGTGTAGGGGCTTGTGGCTCTCTGACGGAAGTGACCACATGCCTCATGTTTTATCCTGCAACTCAGCGCTAGGAGGTGTGCCGCTGGCGGCATTACTGAGGTGGAAACACAGACCCTGCCCTGAGGACATCCTGGTCTGGTGGAGAAGCCAGACAGGACAGCAGACAAATGCAGCACGATGTAGCGAGGACTCTGATGGGGGAGGATCCTGGGAGCTGAGAAACCACACGGAAGGGGAATTCATGGAAGAGGGAGCAGCCCAAGGGTGGGAGATCATGGCAAATGCAGGGGACAGCAAGGAGCCTGGTGCTGTCTGAGTGGGGATGGATGTGGGGTGGGACAGAGGGGGCCCACTCTTCCAGCCACGCCGGGAGCCAGGCCTCAGTCTGAGGGCAGCTGGGGGCCGTGGGGCTATGTCAAGGACAGCGGCCAGTGATGTGATCAGGCTGGGCCAGGAGAACGCACCCTGCTCCTGGACTAGGGGAGCCCAAGCTGTAGGGAGGCCACACAGGAGACGCGCAAGAGGGGAAGACTAATTATCACAAGCTGGAGGAGTATCTCCTGAAGGTCCTTTGGGGGGTCCCTGAGCTGTGGGACCTCTGGCACTGAAGTTTGTTAATAACAGGGAGTGCTTTTCCAACGTGGAGGCCACCACTTTTCCAGGGCCAACACCTTTTGAACAACGCAATTTCATTTTCACCTGGGTTACCTTGCTACTTTAACGCCAACCTACCGACTTTCTCCCCAACACCCTCCTTTGGTGTCTGGTTTGTATTGACTCCCCTTCTCTTAGTCACGTTCACCTTCAACTCATCCCAGACAAGGTGGGCCCCTCCATCCATAAGAGCAAGAGCAAAACCCCAACAAACTCGAGCACTGTCTGTTTTTGAGCTTTAGCCTCATCAACCCAGATCATTAAAACCAAGATTTGCCGCCCACTGGGAAGCGGGGTGATGAGCAGAATGCAGAGCACCCTGGGCTGCAAAAATGCAAAAAGGAACAGCTAATGGGGAGCATGACAGGATTTCGCCTCTCCCTGTTGGTCCCCAAGAGCCCACATCACCTTTGGGATTTTTAGAATGAAGAAAGGCCTTCATTGTTCTGACTCTGATTTCTGACTGAATGGCTCCCTGCTGGCCCAGCCTGGGTCCCACTTTTCCTATCAGGCGTCCACAAAGCTGCTTTCAGTCCCTGGCTGGCGCGAAGGAAGCACAGGAGGCCTCCCTCCTCTGGATGCCCTCGTTCCTGTGCTGTGCATTCTCGGCTGCACCTGGCTGACGTGAGACAGCTGCACGCAGACGACGCCACCACCGCTGCCTCCCCGCCTGCGCCAGGCGTACAGACCTGGCTCCCCCTCCCCAGTCTCTTCTGGGTCCTCCGCAGTCGTGAGCCTTTGTGGTGCAGCCTGACTTCCTGCCTGTGCTTTCACACACATACAGTGGGGATGTGCAGCCTGCCCAGGGCTCACAATGGTGGCTTTCACCTTGGTGTCCACAGGGGAGCTGTCTCAACAGGGAAAGCTTTACTCTAATTTCCTTTCTCACGACTGTCAACAGCATAAGACTGCTAGATACCCTTTAACAGACACTGTAATTCTGTCTGCCTGTGGGCTCCATTTCCCACCATCTCCTCTTGCTTTTAACTTTCCAAGAACTTTCAATAAGATATGATTTCTAAAGAACAGTTGCAAACCAAAGGGGAGCTTCTGGGGTATAAATGAGTATTTCTTTGGAGGGTTTATTATGGGTTGATTGTGCCCCCTCCCCAAATCCATATGTTGAAGTCCTAACCCCCCAAACCTCAAAATGTGACTTTATTTGGAAATAGTGTCATTGTAGATGTAATTAGTTAAGAAGAGGTTATACTGGAGCAGGGTGGACCCCTAATCTAGTATGACTGGCATCTTACAAAAAGGGGAAATTTGAACACAGAGATGCATAGGCACAGGGAGAATGCCATGTGACGATGAAGGCAGAGATGAGGGTGATGCGTCTATAAGCCAAGGAACACCAAAGACTGCCAGCAAACTCCCAGAAGCTTGGGGAGGGACATGGAACAGACTCTCCTTCAGAGCTCCCAGGAGGAACCAACCTGCTGACGCCTTGATCTTGGACTTCCAGTCTCCAGAACTGTGAGACAGTCAATTTCTGTTGTTTAAGCCACCCAGTTTGTGGTACGTTGTTACAGCAACCCTAGTAAACTAATAGAGCCACCTGACAAAGCCTCTCAAAATTTAAAAATGTACAAAGCCTCTGACCTAGCGATTCCACATTTAAGAACTGACCCTTCAGATATGCTCTCAACACTCCACAAACACACACGTATAATGATGTTCACTGACGTGTTGTTTAATGGCAAAATTGAAAATGACCTAAGTGACCATCAATAGGGCACTAGTTAAATGTACTGCGGCAGAGCCATATAATGGAGTACTGTGCAGCTCCCAAAAAGAACACAAAATTTTGTTTTGGGCAAGGGTCATTCACAAATGATAAATCTAAGGGGAATGTTTGATGAGGGGCAGGATATCTGCACAGTCTCAAAGTGCCTCCCCCGAGACTGCTTATCAGTTGCCAGGGGAGAAACAATTAGTCTAGATGAAGAAAACAAGACGTCGTGACCAGACAATCAAAATTCCCATCACCAGGACTTCCCTGGCAGTCCAGTGGTTAAGACTCTGTGCTTCCACCGCAGGGGGCATGGGTTCAACCTCTGGTTGGGGAACTAAGATCCCACATGCCACACAGCGTGGCCAAAAAAAAAAAATCCCCATCACCCAGTGGCAGAAAGACACTGTCCCTCTGAGGATGTGATATCTTATGACCCATGAGATAAGGGATATATGGCAGGGATATATAGCCTGAATTTAATCATGAGGAAACAGCAAAAAACTCAAACTGAGGAACATTTTGTAAAATAATTGGCCTGCCCTCTTCAAATATCTCAATGTCACAAAAGATAAAGACAGACTGAGGGAAACATTTCATATTAAAGGAGATGGAAGAGACATGACATGCCGTATGTGATCCTGGTTCAGGGGGCAGGAGGAGGGGTCTATGTGGGACGTTACTGAAACAACAAATAAATTTGCAATATGGACTGTAGATTAGTTAAAAGCTATTGCATCAATGTTAAGCTTCCTAAATGTGACAACGTACTGTGATTACGTGAGAGAATATCCTGGTTTGCAGTAAATACACCTTGAAATATTGGGGGTAAAGGTACATAATGTAAGCAACCTACTCTAAATGGTCCAAAAATACATATTTCTAGATCTGTCTAGATGAGGATGATGAAGCCAGTGTGGCAACTGTTAAAAAGTTGGTAATAAATAAGATGTGGTACACACATACCATGGAATGACACTCAGCAATAAAAAGGAACAAATGGCTGGTATATGCAACAATATGGATGAACCTCAGAAACATTATGCTGGAGTGAAAGAAGCCAGACGCAGAAGACTACATGCAATACGATACCATTTTATGAAAATTCTAGAAAACTATATTCTAGGCAAAACTACAGAAACAAAAAACAGATCAGTGGTTGCATGGGGCTGGGATAGGAATGGAGATTAACTGCAAATGGGCAAGAGGGAACTCTGGGGAGTGGCAGAAGTGTTCTACGACTGGGCTGCAGTGGGGTGCACAAGGCGAATTTTACAGCATGTGAATTATATTTCAATAAAGCAGTTAAAACAGGTGACATGTGGTAAAGCAATATAGGAGTGCTCTGTACTAGTTCTACAATTCTTCTATAAATTTGTCATTATTTCAAAATAAAATATTTTTAAAAATAGAATGAGTAGATCTGTATGGGCTGACGTGAAATGGTTTCCAAGGTGTACCTTTCTTATATATGTGAACTAAGGTGCAAAATAGTATATATATAGCATGTTTGGAAAACTTACAGATAAACTTATTTACGCATATTGATATATGCTTAGAATAGGAGCGGGCAAACAACGGTCCCCTGCCTGTTTTGTGACTTAAGGTTCACTGGAGCTCTGCCTGCCATTTGTCTGCATGTCCCCACATCTGCTTTTGCAACACACAGCACAGTTGAGTAGATGTGACAGAGAACTTATTGCCAGCAAAGTTGCAAATATTTACTACCAGGCCCTTTACAGAAAACGTTTGCCAACTCCTGCCTTAGAAAATTTAAGAAATATACACAAGACTGTAAGTGTGGCCTCAAAGAAATGGGAATTGGGATCTGGAATGTTAAAGAGACCAAGTTCGCATTATAAATCTTTTTGTACTCTTTGAAGTTTTATGTACCATTTGATTATATGGCTTTGAGAAAAATAATTTGCAAAAATGATTTAAAATTGCCTTACGGGCTTCCGTGGTGGCTCAGAGGTTAAGAATCCTCCTGCCACTGCAGGGAACACGGGTTCAAGCCCTGGTCCGGGAAGATCCCACAGGCCGTGGAGCAACTAAGCCCGTGCGCCACAACTACTGAGCCTGCGCTCTACAGCCAGTGAGCCACAACTACTGAAGCCTGCGCACCTAGAGCCCGTGCTCTGCCACAAGAGAAGCCACCGCAATGAGAAACCCGAGCACCACAATGAAGAGTAGCCCCCGCTCGCTGCAACTAGAGAAAGCCCACGCACAGCAATGAAGACCCAACGCAGCCAAAAATAAATAAAAAAATAAGATAAATACATTTATAAAATAAAGCTTGTAAGCGTGTTTAAAAAAAAAATTGCCTTACATTTTAAGAGGTCAATGTCATTGCTCTCAGCTCACAGAATGATTGCTCCCCGTGAACACTGGCACCTGGACCAGGTGTGTGCCACCTCTTCCTGGGATCAGAAACCAGCCAGGCTCCCATTATAAATGACCTCTAGCTTTTCCTCAGAGCCCGGTGTGACTGACACAGGAGGTCACAGGGACACGCTACGTACCTGATCTTGTTTCCCCCAGATGATCTGCGTCGGGACCTTGATCCTGTCCATGTTCTGATGGAGGGAGTATCTCGACTTCTCACTGACGATCTCCAAAAACACTTTTGACAGAAGGAAAATAAAGTGAGTGCATGCTGGGCTGTGCTGTGGACACCACCGAGTATAGACAGTCTTTGAGTCTAAGCCACTGCTTTTTTCTTGAGGGGCCCCAGAAAACTATCAGTCTCAGAAATGTAAGAAAAAAGAGCCAGCCACCCATAAAGCTTGACTTGTCACACAAGTTCAGAGAGCTTAACGCAGGGCTACTTACGTTTTCGGTAGAAATTGTTATGAGGGATGCGGACGTCGACAAGGCCTTGCAGGATCTGAGGATAAATAACCCAAAGTCAGAAGGCAAGGGAAGATTCATATCCTCAGGCCTCACATGGGTCTGGGACAACGAAGGAAAAGAAGTCCAGCAGTTTAGGGCATTGTCAAGGTCTGTAGGGCCTGATCCTCCAAATTCCCATGATGTACTATCATGCAATGTAATGGGGAGTCAGGTTCATAAGTGGCTTTTTTCTTTCTCATTAGAAAGGAACTTTGGTAATACTGTGAAGCCAAAGGTCCCCTGCGGCATGTAAAATACACCCGAGATGGCCTGATAGCTGCTTTACCTTTGAGAAAATCTCCGCTTAGCCTGAGACACAATCAGGATGGAAATAATATCAAGTAATTATTCAGTAATACCCAATGCAAAACAGGTCTATTTAAAAAACATTAAACCATTGGGGATGAAGGGCCTCTCAAACAATGAAGAAATAAACTAATGCGGAAATTGTGGGAAGGCTTCCAGTGTCCTGTGCTCATTGTGTGACACTGCCCTGGCCCTCCCTGCCGCGGGCTGTGAGGCAGCAGCACAGGTGGACAGGACAGGCCTCCGGGACCTGCGAGATGGGCCCAGAGAGGTACTGTGGCCAGAAGGAACACGGCCCGCCTCTTCCCCCGCCTCAGGGTTCTTGAGGTAGTGTCCAGGGCTCACATTATCAGCCATCACTCCTCTCATCTCCCTGGGAATGGTCTGAACCCCTTAACTGCACTCTCAGGAGTCCTGTGCACTGACTGAAGTGGGAAGATCCTGCCGTAACTGCTCTGGACTAAAGCGCTGGAGCATGACAGAATCTGACTACTCGGGAAGTGGAAGCCCACAGGTGAGACCAATGGCAAGCTGTCCAACACACAGTGCTGAGCATCAGACATTTTCTTTGTTCTACTATCTATCCTGCACTCATGCATCTATCCATCTTCCATCCACCCATCCTCCACCTACCCAACTACCCATCCATCCTGCATCTCTGACTCAGACATGCACATGTCTATGCATGTGTCCACTTATCCTGCATCTGCCCATCCATCCTCCATCACCTATCCATCCTGCACCTCTGAATCATATATGCATATGTCTACCCATGTATCCATCTATCCTGCATCCACCAATCCATCCACCCTCCATCCCTGCTATCTCCAGACATTTTCCCATCCATCCAACCAAGCATTCAGCCATCCAGCTATTTTCACCATCCCTAAATCATCGATGCATGCACATACATCAGTTCATGCATCAGTTCATGCATCCATCTATCCTGTATCTTCCTACACATCCATTCTCCATCCCTGCATTATCCTGGCTTCCTCCCATCCACTGATCCATCGAATCTATACCTAGGAGCTACCTCATGCAAGAACAGCCAAAGACAGAGTCCTTGCTCTTACAGAGGTAAGAATGGAAGACACAAACAAGCAAACAGACGACCATAACACAATGTGACACAATGGGCTGAGTGCTCGGGTGCTCCAGAAAAGACTTTGGGACCTGCATTTATTTTCTCCCAGTGTTTTCACATCCCTGACAACTCAAAACATGGAAATTTCTGAAACCCTGTTTGGCCACTCTATTCTGGAAAGAGATCAGTGGAGAGGGGATCAGTGCAATGTCACGACTGAAAAGAGGATTTCATGGATAGAACATACCGCAGAATCTGATTCTGGGTGCTTCCTCAGAGATGGGCCACACCCATGCATGAGTCATGTTCACAACTTCTAAATAGAGCCCATTCTATCAACTCCTAGGAGGACCCACCCCACCCTGAGGCAGGGTCCAGTTCCTGCAACAGAGTGAGATAATTTGCTATTGTGAGGACTCAGCCTCAGACTCTCTTGGTTTTCCCCACACTTTCCTCTCTTGGTTTTCCCCACACTTTCCCTACACAACCTCATTTACACCCAAGACCTTTAATATCATCATTGGCTGATGGCCTTAACTGTACAACTCCAGGCCAGACTTTCCTCAGCTCCACCTGTAGAGCCAACTGTCTACTTGACACCTGCACTTGATGGTCTCACAGGGAACTTGAACTTCAAACATCCAAAATGGAGCTCTTAGCTTATCACTCAAGCCCACCATCCGTCTCCTTCTCTTACTCAGAAAACACTACCTTTATCCAACTGAAGTACCAGAAAGTCACCCAGGACTCCTCACCTTCCCTCATATTTCATTCCAATTTGCCAGTAAGTCCTGTCTTCTTCCTTCCAAAGCTTCTCCGGTCTTATCTCCACTGCTACCACCCCAGTCTACACCACCCTCATCTCCAAGCCACAACAGCACCCTAATGGGTTTCTCTGCTTCTGTCTGTGCTCACCTACAATCTTCAGTGTTTCTCTTATTGTACTTAGAAAAACTCCAGTCTCCTTCCCATAACCTATAAGGTCCTACATGATCTAGCCCAGTGGTTCTCAAAGAGGTTCTTGGGAGTCCAAGACGTCAAACTATTTTCATAATAACACTAAATGTCACTTGTCTTTTTCACTTTCATTCTCTCTAAAGCATACTGATGTTCAGAGCCTACATAATGAGGGATAATGTCATCATTCTGAAGGCTAATGAAATAAGTGCTGTGTATCCTTGTGTTTTAAGTTCTTCTGAGTTTTAATTTCTAATATGGTAAATATCAATAGTTATAACCTCTATAAACAAATGCTCATTGGGGTTCTCAATAATTCTTAAGAGTGTAAAGGGGTCCTGAGATTTTTTTAAAAAATAAGAATCTCTGATTCAGCTCCAGAATCCCTTTCCAACCTTTTCTCAACCCATTCTTTCCCTCACCCTCTGGGCTCCAGTCACCCTGGCCTCCTTCCAGCATCTTGAATTGACCGTGTTTTATCCATCGCTGCCCATGCTGCTGTCTCACAGAGGCTTATCAAAGCTTCTCCGGCCTCCCCTGTTTTCAATCACTGCACCATCTTCATTTCCTCTATAATACTTATTACAATCTGTAATTATTTGTCTTCTTGTTAATTGTCTGCCTCCCCCACTGGCCTGCATCTGCCCAGGGACCTTCTCTGACTTATTTACTCCCCACGGTGCTCAAGCACAGTGCCGGATACATCACGGGCATGATACAGATACTTGTTGAATGAATGAACAGATGAGTACAAGGCAGGAACGCAAGGAGAAAGCAGGTGCTGGCCACCTGAGCCCTGGACAGAGGGCAGGCACACTGCTTCTGAGACCACGTTACCTGCTGGGGCACCCTGAAGCGGACATAGGAGCAGAGCTGGAGCATTTCACTCATCTCTTCTGGAGTGGATGGGATCAAGGGAATCTTCTCTACGGCGGCCGACTCCTGCAGTTCTTTGAGCCGTTGTACAAATTGATTATCAGTTGAGTACTGCAGACCTGTGGGATTCAAACCAAACAGCTTGGCAATATATCTACCTTCTTACCAAACCCCATTTTATATAGAGAACTTCCAGTATCAGCCCAGAACTAATATATTCCTGGTGTTTTTCACCAGTAGATTTCTTTTTCATTGGTACTGACATCCTTGCTCAAAGTCAGAACCACACTCTGAGAAACATAGAAAAAAATTCTTCAGAATACTTTAGGGGCTCGTTACTCAAACTGTGGTCCATGGACCAGCAGTACTGGGAGCCCATAAGAAATGCAGCATCTCAGCCTTTCCCCTAAGCCTCTTAAATCAGAATCTCACTAAAGTTGCCAGGGGATTCATACGTAGGATAGAGTTTAAGGAGCACCAGTCTAGAAGACAGCTTGCCTGAGCCCCTTTCACATCCGTATGGTTGAGAGGAGACCTGGTGAAATGCATGACTGGACTAGAGCGACTGACTACTCCTTCCGTCCGCCTGGACCCGCTTAATAATCTCTTATTTGGGGTCAATCCATAAACACAGCGAGAATGAGTGCCCTTGTGAGCTGTCCCCCACATAGTCCCTCCTCCCCCAGGGGAGCATGAGGCGATCCTGAGCTGGAACAGCTTTGAGATTGACCATTATTTTCTATCACCTGAAGCACGACACCAAGACTTCACATGAGCTGACGTATACAGGAGGGTAAAGCTAATTTCATTTCCAACACTGAGCAAATTTCCAGGTGTTTAACTTAGCTGAAGAGCTAGAGCTTTGCAAGAGAGGCAGTGGCATCCATACTGTGCCACAGAAGTCCACACTTTATAAAACTCCTATATTCAGCAACTCCTCTAAATCTAACATGGGTATCGTGTGGCTCTCATGATGCCATGGGCAGATTACATGATCTATTTCCTTCTGCTTTAAAAATAATCCTAAACTAAATGTCATGTGGTATAGCCTGAATTGGATCCTGGAACAGAAAAGGACATTTGTGGAAAAACTAATGAAATCCAAATAGGGCCTGGAGTTTAGTTAACAGTAATGAACCAGTGTTGGTTTCCTAGTTGTGACAAATTTACTGAGGTTCATGAGCTGTTAAAGGGGAGAACTGGGTCAAGGGCATGTGGGCCTCTCTGTACTATCTTTGCAACATTTCTGTAATGTAAAATTATTTCAAAGTAAAAAAAGCGTATCTTTTCATTTTCGTATATAAACAAATGTAATTCTAAACTTCTAATGGAAACTCGGGGGTAAAACTCTTTCTCTGAGCAAATGAACATAAACTCAAAAAAGACCTTCCATAAGTGATTTAAGATCTAACCTTCCGTAAGTGATTTAAAATCTAAATAACCTTCCAGAGGGGCTATTCCTCCAATTCTCAAACTTTATAAGACTAAATGATTTCAGACACAGTGCTTGGGAAAAGGAGAAGAGAAAACCCTTTGGGAGCTTGCCTTTGATTTCAATGAGCTTAACAGACCTGAAAACTGAACTTTCAGAGTAAGTAAAAGATTTCAAAGGTAAATTCAGTTATGTTTCAGTGGAAGGTGTACAAGTTTGATTCATGGCTGGATTCTACCGGGTAAAGGAGGTAATGAGTATGAGTTACATATAAAAGAGGTAGTGAATGTGAAAGGACTTCCCCCCAAAACCACAGCTTGGGCTCTGGAGTGAGACAGCCTAGGGTCAGTCCCTATCCTGGCTCCAGCACTAACGTAATTACTTCTATGTTCCCACCTATAAAATGGGCATACTAAATCGATCTGGATAAGAATTACATATGTAAAAAGTCACTGAGATATACACTAAAAATCTGAACAATTTATTATGTGTAAACCACACTCCAATAAAGTACCAGGGGTGGGGAGGGGAGCAAGTGAAGGAAGAAGGAGAAAAATTAAGATTTTTCTCAGTAACACACTGTAAATCCAAGTTTGAAGGCTTATATATATTAAAAAAATTTAAAATCTAACTTTAGTGCTCGCTTCAGGGGCATATATACTAAAATTGGAACAATACAGAGAAGATTAGCATAGCCCCTATGCAAGGATGACATGCAAATTCATGAAGTACCATATTTTAAAAATAAAAATAAAAATCCAACTTCAGATCATAATTTCAGGGGACACGTTACAGCTCAAGTTGACATGAATACCTGTAAGAACAGAGAAACTAAAGTTTGTTGATTAAAACAAAAAAAATCTTGTAGAACTTCCCTGGTGGCGCAGTGGTTAAGAATCCACCTGCCAATGCAGGGGACACGGGTTCGAGCCCTGGTCTGGGAAGATCCCACATGCCGTGGAGCAACTAAGCCTGTGCGCCACAACTACTGAGCCTGCGCTCTAGAGCCTGGGAGCCACAACTACTAAGCCCCCGTGCCTAGAGCCTGTGCTCCACAACAAGAGAAGACACAGCAATGAAAAGCCCACACACCGCAAGGAAGAGTAGCCCCCGCTCACCACAACTAGAGAAAGCCCGCGTGCAGCAACGAAGACCCAACACAGCCAAAAATAAATTAATTAATTTAAAAAAATCTTATAATGAATCAAGATCTCTGAGTTTTCAGCAAAAAAAGGAAGAGGCACGATAATAGTACCTTCACCTCATAAGGTTAAGGCAAGAATTAAATCCATATAAATTCTTAGCTCATAAGAATTCAATAAATGTTGGATGTTAATATTATCATTATATTTCAAAGTATTTAAATGTTGTAAAGTACTATACACATTTAAATTAACCACCACAAACTCTGTGGAACAAGGCTGGCTCTGTATTTTAAAACTCAAGCACTGGCTTCAGCAGCACATATACTAAAACTGGAACAATACAGAGAAGATTAGCACGGCCCCTGCTCAAGGACGACATGCAAATTCGTGAAGCATTCCATATTCTTCAAATGTAAAATAGATAGCTAGTGGGAAGCAGCCGCATTAGCACAGGGAGATCAGCTCGGTGCTTTGTGACCACCTAGAGGGGTGGGATAGGGAGGGTGGGAGGGAGGGAGATGCAAGAGGGAAGAGATATGGGCACATATGTATATGTATAACTGACTCACTTTGTTATAAAGCAGAAACTGACACACCATTGTAAAGCAATTATACTCTAATAAAGATGTTAAAATAAAAAGAAATATGGTTATGATTATGGTTATACAACTATTGTATCTATCACTGAAGTAATCTGATTAGTATCTCTAAAATATCGTCAAAAAGATGATTCTAAAAACACAGTCAGGGCTTCCCTGGTGGCGCAGTGGTTGAGAGTCCGCCTGCCGATGCAGGGGACACGGGTTCATGCCCTGGTCCGGGAGGATCCCACATGCCGCGGAGCGCCTGGGCCCGTGAACCATGGCCACTGGGCCTGTGCGTCCAGAGCCTGTGCTCCGCAGCGGGAGAGGCCACAGCAGTGAGAGGCCCGCGTACCACAAAAAAAAAAAACACTCAGAGCAGACATTGCCATTTATGTCTTCAGAGATTCAGACCCCGCTGTGCTCAAGTCACTCATAGGGTTATTTCAGCCTCGTAACTCACCAGCAGGGCACACAAGAGACAGGCTGCAGACATCTGATGGGTAGTGAGCAGCATACACCCCAGCCACGTGGCCGCCCATGGAGGTGCCTATCAGGTGGAAGGGTTTTTTGTTCAGCTTGAGGCATTCTACAAACTAGGAAGGGAAATGAGAAAGAGGCTTGGTTATACAGCTGTGGACAATGACAATGGTGATTACAGAGTAGAAAACCTCTGTACTTCCTATGGGGACAAGTGAAAAGGACTGTTGATGAAAGGGAATCTGGAATCTACTGGATCTATTATCCAGATGAGCCCCGTTACATGCATGTACTTCTCTTTACCTGACACAGGTTACTGAAGGGTCATTTGTAAGTATAAAATCAACAAGGATTCTCCTAATTCATCAGTCAGCAAACTTTTAAAATAAAGGTTCCGAGAGTAAATATTTTCTAGGGAAAATTTTTGTGCGCCACGTGACCTCTGTTGCAACTATTCAACTCTCCTGTCGTAGCACAAAAGCAGCTAAAGACAACATGTTAACGAGTGAGTGTGGCTCAGTCCCAGTAAAACTTACCTTACAAAACTCGGTGGCAGGCCAAACAGAGCCCACGGGCCACAGTCTGCTGACTGCTGCCCTAATTTACAGGCCTTCCCATCCATCCAACCATCCATTCAGGTAACGAGCCACCCATCCGTCTATTCAACCATCCAACCATTCATCCAACCATCCATCCAACTTTCCATCTATCCAACCATTCAACCAACTATCCACCCACCTGCCCGTTCACCTAAAAAATAATTATTGGGTGTCTATTATGTACAAGGAACTATGGTCAGCTGCTGAGGATACAGCGAAGAGTCAAAGAAACAATGTTCCTGACCTCAACAGAATACACAGTTCAATGGGGGGAGAGGGGCAGGCATTAAATAAATATCCTCAACTGGGGAAAATATGTCAATTTGAAGCTTATGAACCACTAAATTTTGAAATAGTTCATGAGCCCCAAGACCCTGAAAGCCCAGTCAGAGGCGGCTGAAGATAGATACTAAACTAGAACAAAATGCAAAGAGCACCCTCCCCATCCTCTACAAGTAGGCAGACATGCTGTTATTGTCATCATGTAGCTGGTAAGCAGAAAAATAGACTCTAAAAAAATAAATGGTCTTGAGGAATTCTAAACTCCTTTTCTGAAGAGCTGAGAAAACGCCCAGATGGCATTTCCTTAGAAACAACTGCAATAGGCTTAGAGGAGAACAGTCTGCAATAAGCCCTGGTCCTCCACAGCTGACCAAGGACACCACTGGGCTGCTGCCATTTTGTTTGCAATTACTTGCAGACAGGATGCATTAGAGAATGGTTGAGTCAGAATGGAACTCCCTTGCCTGCTCTTTAGACTTGGGCATGCAATAGTGGGCAAGACCCACCTGGGCAATTTTTGGTGGAGCCTCCTGCTTACCTGGTGTATCCTCTTGACTTGCCCATCTATGGACAGATCATCCAGGGAGGAGCGGGTGGTGCCCTCATGTCCTGGCATGTCCACGCAGACCAAGTGTAGGTTCTTTGGAAGGAACTGAGGATACACAGGCACAGAGTGTCAGTATGTGCAGTGTAGAACATGCCTGCCCATTTTTCTGGGGAGGCTACCCCCACTTACCAAGTGACCTGGACAGCCACTCCCTGGGAGGTTATGAACCTGGACCACCCAGTATCTTACCCTAGTAACAGCTGATGTGAATAAACATTGCCAGTAGCCTTATAGGGAGCAGAAACCCCCAAAATCTAATACAGAAATGGAAGGGGACTCGGGGGAATGACTGGAAAGGGGGGACAAAGGTCAGGGTAGCAGGCCTGCGTCCTTTGCTCTTTCTTGACACCACCTGGCAGGTACTACATCCTTCTCCTTTCCCTCACCCCTTCCACACTTAACTCTAGTCATGCAGCCACTGACTTGGGACTATAAGGGATAGTTCTGCTCTCCCAGAGTCCTGTCCAGCTCCAGAGCCCACAGGAGCAATGCTTTTCCTAAGAGCCATGTCTGATCGTCCTAATTCTGGTTTCAACTTTTTTTTTTTCCTGCATTAGGTCTAATTCCTAGGGTATTTTTATCCTAAACACCTTCTTCCATTTAAATATGTGCCACATTTAACCAGGAATCTGAGAAACATCAGCTATCAATAAACAAATATCCAGTTATATGAAAGATGGAGACAGCAAGTGAGAGGTTCATTAAGGCATGAGGATGACTGTCCTCATAGTGAAATTTGGAAATAAGAACATAAGGAAGGGGCTTCCCTGGTGGCGCAGTGGTTGGGAGTCCGCCTGCCGATGCAGGGGACACGGGTTCATGCCCCGGTCCGGGAGGATCCCACATGCCGCGGAGCGGCTGGGCCCATGAGCCATGGTCGCTGAGCCTGCGCGTCCGGAGCCTGTGCTCCGCAACGGGAGAGGCCACAGCAGTGAGAGGCCCGCGTACTGCCAAAAAAAAAAAAGAACATAAGGAAGTAGATGATGTATGAGCCTTTTCCTCCTGGTGTGAAGCATACTTGGGGTCATTCGGGTACGGTCCTGCTTGAGGTGGGAGCCTGGGGTGCTTCCCTCCCAAGACCTCTCCCAGCCCCCATCTTCACCAGCTGTTCACTCTTACCAGTAAAGCAAGTTGCCACACCCAAGTAAACCAGGACAGAAGGGGAGTGATTTGGAAAACTATCCCAGAAAGCTGCCAGATCAAGACTGTTTCTCTAAAGGGCTAAGGAAAAGAAAAAGCAGAAATAGAAGGAAGACGGAAGGAGATGGGGAGGGGAGAAGGAGAAACAGAAAAGGGAGGAGGAGGGGAAGGAAGAGGAGAATCTTGGAGTATAAAAAAACAAGTGAGTTTTTAAAAGCTGGATCTTGATAGTCATGACAGGCCTGAGATGAAGGTGAGTGTCAGAAATCTTCCCTAAGAAATACTCATACGGTGAAATGATTTTTAAGGCACAGATTTTACAAATAACATTCAATTCAGTAAATTTTGTCTGATAAAAGGATCTGAATAATATACTGCATTAATTTTAGGATGATTTGAGCCACAGTTCTGGGTTCCCCTGGCTTTCTACCCCTGTTGATGACACCGTGTCCAAGTGGAAACCTCTTCTTGACTGAGTGACACCCTCCGAAGAGAGAAGGCTCTAGGACTGCACCTTGACCACGCTGAGCCACATGTCCTTATGGGCAGAGAATCCGTGGAGCATGAGGATGGAAGGCTTGTTCCCAGGCCTGCCGCGGAAGGAGTAACAGAACTGATAGTCTTCGTGGCGCACATAGCGCACCTGCATGCCCAGTGCCCTCCGCCAGTACCTGGGGACAGAAAATACAGGCAAATCAAAGTCGCTGAGCTCCAGAGAAGCAGCTTCGGGAGGGGGACTCTGTATAGTGTCACTTTGAAGTAAGACCAACGCTTTTCCCAGCCCTCGTCCTCCACGCATGTCTCTGGAGCCCCCAGAGCTTCACCCTCAAGGAGGACGAAGCCAAACCACTCCAGAAAGCACCTTACATGAATATTCTGTAAGTAACATGTATATATGTTACTAAGCAGTCTATTAGAAAGGGAAAAGGGGGTGTTTTCTTAAGAAGCATGACACATAATAACCCTTTGTTAACATGAATTTCTAGCAGTTTTGAATCGCAGTGCAAAGAAGGAGCAGACAATGGGACCTCACTGGGTGTCTAACTTGAGCCCTTTCTCTGCCTTGCTTCTTTGAGCTTCACAGAACTGGAAACAGCTGGTGGTAAGGCTGGGAAGGACTCCAGAAATGCCAAGACAAAGGTGGTTTCCCCTCAAAGACAGCCAGCTTGCAGTTCCTGGTGGGCCATGTTCATTGACACCTGAAATCTGGGACGAGCAGCTGTGGACGTGCAGGCGTGAGTGACTCTGGGTGCAGGGCAGTCGCCCTGGAGTCCTAGAGGACCTCACTGCAGAGGTACTTTAATTGGAAGGAAATGCATCAGAAGACTTAAAGGTAAAGTGTGTTCCCTCTTGTCACCTACAACTCGCTACTCATGGAGATGAAGAATTGGACTCATCAAGGCTGCACTTGCTGGCGGTGGTGTCATTCCACATCCACAAATCTCTGGATGGCAAGAAAGGACAACAGGAGGCTGTCTGATGTATGCCTGGATTCCTTATTGTCTCAGGACTCAACATACCTCACAGCTGTCCAGTGTGGGTGATTCCAGTGACTGCTGTGAAAAACACTACTTGGCCTATTTGTAATTCTATTTGAGCAAGCTGGAAGTTTAATTAGCCTTTCAACCAACCAAATTTCTGCATTTGAGTCTTAACCTTATTTATTTATCTATTCTTGTGAATTTGTTTTTATTGGGATACAGGAGATGGGTTGGGAAGTATCCCTGCAGGTTACGCCCCACCAGGGAAAGGTCCATTCTAATCTTCCTGGGGGAGCTTTTGGAACTTTTTCATTCCTTGGAACTGCTGCTCTTGCTGCCAGCAGCCTCCTCCGGTCCACAGCTTATAGCTCCTCTTTGGAGAATTTCCTCTTTTTCTTTGGGGCACTCTTGTTTCCTGACTCTTCAGCGTCACTAACTGGTTCCTCTTTGGGGAAAGATTTCTTCCTCTTGGGAAGATTTCCACTGCCGGCTGTCTCTTCAGGATCACTACTAACTCACTCCTCCTTGGAAAAAGATTTCTTTTTCTTGGGTTTGGAGAAAGAGGCCGACGAATCTTCTGTGCCATTCTCCTGAGAAGCCTCCTGGGGCTTTCACTTTCTTCTTTTTGGGTCTTGCACTTGTCTCCTTACACTCCCCCTGAGCACTGATGCTGTTTTCTGAAGATGCAAGGGGAACTGCAGCCAGCTGTTCTTTTCCTTCTTTAAGCGTTTCTTCTCCTGTTTCTCCAGCTTCCTAGTAATCTCAGCGGCGGCTTCCTCTGCCTGAACCATTGCCTCCTTCATGACATCCAGATTCTTTCATGGAATCTCTTCAGTCTCATAGAAGGACAGCTGCTCCTTGACTTGTTCTTGAAGCTTCTCCACAAATACACTTGAGGGCACCTCAGAGAAGCAATCAATTTATGAGGATATGCTGCATTTGTTGGCCAGGTATTGGGAGATGAGCCTTTGTTCTTAGCAGCTGCCTGGCCAATGAACGTGGAGTGGAAAATCAGACCATATTTTGGGGTGTTATCCCTTGTCTTCAGGGCTCTGGAAACGTGGTCCCTTTGCTGGGCCCAGGGAATCACTCAGACACAAGGACTGGCCATCAGGGTCTTAACCATATTTAAGTGTTAGTGTGGTTTCAAAGAAGCTATTCATTCTCAAGTATTGGATTTTGATTGAGTTGACTGCTTAAAAAAAAAAAAAAACTGTTTGGATTTTAATTGTGATGCAGAATTTATGGTAACAAACATTTGGTTTTGTACAGACATAATTTCCACTATGGTGGATAAGCTTGATAAAGGTCATATGCCCTCCCCTGCCTTCCACTCCAGATATATTTTTCCTAGAGACTCTGACAGTGAGAACTTGTTTCATAAGAATTATCTCATCAGTCCTCTGGTTTTATTCCTTACAACATATGGCAGCTGGTTGAAAGCTCAGCTTCTGTTGGTTACGTAAGACTTGGCAGTGCTGGAGTTTGGCCTGAAACTGATTTCAATATGAAATTACCATCTAAACAAATTGAACTCTCTGCATGAAGAATCTCTCCAAGATGAAAGATAATTAATTCAATCAGAGATTCACTTTGTGGTATACTTTGCACCAAAGAGGTAGCCAAGTCTTAACAATAGCAAATAGCCTAAATGGACCAACTTTAACCCTTTGTGTAAAATAAAGGGAGAGGGAGATGAGGATATATATTCATATTTACTCATACCTGCATACAAAATGCATGGGAGCATATACAAGGTACTATTAAAATGAGTATCTGGAGCGGAGGTGGGAAATACTGTGAGAAGTAGGTGGAGAGGGAATAGCGGTGGGAGGCAGACTTACCATGCTTTTTTTTAGTACTTTTTCAATGAATATATTGCCTATTGAAAACATTAAAGATACAATAAAACTGGCTAGCTTAACAGCTCTTCTTATGACAAAACATACATATTTCATGAAATCAAATATGGTATGGTAACAGGAATTTGTTCACTCATTCATATCCCAGCTCATTCATTTACTGGCTATATGATCGTGAAACTCAATTTCCTCATCTATAATATGGGAAAATGTTGCATTCTACTAAGGGTATATATGGTTAAGATTAAAAGAGATAATCCATTACAAAGTCTGGTTCAATGCCCAACACACGGGAAATATTCAATAAATGGTAGTTTTATTATTATATAAAAAAGATTCTGTCCTTCAAATATATCATTTGCCCAAATTCCAGGGAAAATTGTGGAAAACTTTGTGACAAATATTATAGCCATGTAAGTGGAATCATTTGTTCTTTGGTGTCTGGCTTATTCCACTTAGCATAATGTTTTCAAGGTTCATCCATGTTGTACCCTACATCAGAATTGTATTCCTTTTTAAGGTTGAATAATATCCCATTGTATGTATATACCACATTTTGTTTATCATTCATCTATTGATGGATATTTGGATTGTTTCCATTTTTTTGGCAATTGTGCGTAATGCTGCTATGTACATTGGTATATAAGTATCTGTTTGAGTCCTTGCTTTCAATTCTTTGGGGTATAGAAGTACAATTGTTGGATCACATAGTAATTCTGTGTTTAACTTTTTAAGGAACCACTAAACTTTTCCACAGTAGTTATACCACTTTACATTTCTACCAGCAAAGCACAAGGGTTCCAGTTTCTCTACATCCTCAGCAACACTTGCTATTTTCCATTTCTTAAATAATAGCCATCCTAATGTGTGTGTAGTATATTGCTGTGGTTTTCATTTGCATTTCCCTAAGGACAAGGATGTTGAATATACATTTCTTTTTATTGAGATATAATTTACATACCATAAAATTCACCCTTTTAAATGGTACAACTGAGGTGTTTTTAGTATATTCACAAAGTTGTGCAACCATCACCACTAATCCTGGAACATTTTTATCAAAAAGAAACCTGACTGCAGAAATAGAGACAGATGTAGAGAACAAACATATGGACACCAAGCGGGGAAAGGGGGGTGGGGTGGGATGAATTAGGAGATTGGGATTGACATATATACACGAATATGTATAAAATAGATAACTAATGAGAACCTGCTGTAGAGCATAGGGTACTCTACTTCACTTCACTGCATACAGTAGAAATTAACACAACATTGTAAAACAACTATATCCCCAGAAAAGCAAATCCTTCTCGCCATTAAGGTAATAGTTGTAAACTAAGTTGACAGTTGTAAACTAAGTTCCCACTTCTCCATTCTCTGGCCATTGAATAAAGCTTGCACTGCTTCAATCTCAAAAAAAAAAAAAAAAAAAAAAACCCAACTGAACTATATACTTACAAATAACCACAATTAAAAAAGAAAAAGAAAGAAATCCATACCCATGAGCACTCACTCGCCATTCTCCTCTGCAGCTCCTGGCAACCACTAGTTTATTTCAAGTCTCTATGGATTTGCCTATTCTAGACATTTCCCATGAATGGGTTCATTCACTATGTGGCCTTTTGTGTCTGGCGTATTTCACTTAGCGTGTTTTCAAGTTCATCCATTATAGAATATATCAGTATTTTATTCCTTTTTAAGGCTAAATAATATTCCATCATATGGATATGCCATATTTGTTTATCCATTCATCTGTTGATGGACATTTGGGTTGTTTCTGCTTCTGAGCTATTAGGAATAGTGCCACTATGAACATACATATACAAGTTTTCCGTTCTCTTGGGTGTTCTCAGTTCATGTAGGAGTAGAATTCCTGGGTCATATAGTAGCTTTAAAAAAAAAAACCTTTTGAGGAACTGCCAGACTGTATTCCAAAGTGGTTACATCATTTCACATTCTCCACTAGCAGTATATGAGGGATCCAATTTCTCTACAACCTTCATTGTTATTTTTTAGAGAAACTTTCAATGTAAGTATAAATAATACAGAAAAGTACACATATTATAAGTGTACAGCCTGATGAATCTGCACAATGTGAATGAACCCATTATCTGCCACCCAGATCAAGGTCTAGGCTACGACCAGCATCCCAGATATCCACCTCATGCCTCTCCCCATTAATACCTCCTAAAGGTAACCACTACCTCATTTTCAAACAGGAGAGTTCTGCATGTTTTAGAATTTTATCATACAATAAGTTCTTATTTGTATCTGACTCCTTCCACTCAATATTATGTTTGTAAGGATCATTCATGTTGTAAAATGTAGCAT